AGGTACACAGCAGTACAACATGAACTGTGTAGAGCTCTCTGGAGTTCCTAGCTGACTGGCAATTAGGTTTCTGGATGTTGGCAGCATCTCTCTCATAGCTGTCCAAAGACAACTTCTGTAATCTGTTTCTTGGTCATCTTTTACTTCCCATAGTTGTGGTGGTCAAGGCTAGAGCCGGTGCTGTGTAGTCGGTGGAAGAAATGTTATCAGAGCGTACTGCCTCGTGAGCTGCAGAGGCTGCAGGAGGCCCGGGAGTTTGCTAGCAAGTAAGCTGGAGCAGAGTGTGTGTGTGTGTGTGTGTGTGTGTGTGTGTGTGTGTGTGTGTGTGTGTGTGTGTGTGTGTGTGTGTGTGTGTAGCCCCGGGAGTTTGCTAGCAAGTAAGCTGGAGCAGAGTGTGTGTGTGTGTGTGTGTGTGTGTGTGTGTGTGTGTAGCTAGCAAGTAAGCTGGAGCAGAGTGTGTGTGTGTGTGTGTGTGTGTGTGTGTGTGTGTGTGTGTGTGTAGCCCCGGGAGTTTGCTAGCAAGTAAGCTGGAGCAGAGTGTGTGTGTGTGTGTGTGTCTGTCTGTCTGTCTGTCTCTGTCCCCGGGAGTTTGCTAGCAAGTAAGCTGGAGCAGAGAGAGAGAGTGTGTGTGTGTGTGTGTGTGTGTGTGTGTGTGTGTGTGTGTGTATTGGGGTGAGGGGGAGCAGCTGCTCCTTGGACAAGGCTGTCATGCCACACTGAGTACTGGGTACTGCCTCTGGTGAAGGGAAAGCAGCAGGCTGAGCTGGCTGGCCTGCCTAAGGAAGCTGCTCCAGTGTTCATGAAGCTGCTTTCATCAGGTCTCTGCAGCTCAGCTTCCTTGCATCCTGGGCCTGGATTCTATTCTGATGTTTATTTAGCACAGGGTGCCCCAGAGGCTCAAGGCAGGCAGCACTAGGGGAACAGGATAGGGCAGGGAGCAGATTCTCAGTTCTTCCCTCATCTGAGAGCCCAGGCAGATTTCTGGCAGTCCTGGCTGGCCTTACCTGAGGACCGCCAAGCACCCAAGGCATGTAGGGAGTTCTTAGAGTGCTTCAGCAAGACAGTAATCTTTATCAAGGATTACTCTCTGATAGCTAGTGGTTTGTTTGGTTGGTTGGTTTTTTTTTCAAGACAGGGTTTCTCTGTGGCTTTGGAGCCTGTCCTGGAACCTGGTCTTGTAGACCAGGCTGATCTCAAACTCACAGAGGTCTACCTGCCTCTGCCTCCCTGGTGCTAGGACTAAAGGCGTTCACCACTACCGACTAGTGTTAGCTAGTTTTGAATCCATGTGCCTCTGTTGGGAGTACTCTAAAACCTGCTCAGTAAACAATAATGCAGGCCTTGCTACCAACCCGAAACCTACAGAGATCAGATTACTCCTTTGATTCTTACACTGTGTGGCATTAGTGCATCTGCAAGGTGTTGGAACTAAGGTACCTTGATGTTAATAAAGTTAGACTCCATTGGGCTAGCCCAGTCACAGGCCCACATGGACAACCAAGAAATACTGAGAGCTCAGTAGTACTATGGCCTCTTCCTTCAAAGCTCTCAGGCCCCAATATCTCATTATGAGGTGGACAGGACTGATGGGAGATGGAAGCCAGATCCCCCTCAGAATGCTATATATCATCTGCCTTATGTACAAGACTGGCCCCAACCTACCAGATCCCATCCCCCCTCCCTTGACACAGACTTCGTTTGTAGTGACTCTGGGGCCCCCTGCATCGTGTTAGAAAGGAAAGCCTCCTTTGTTAAACACAAAGGTATTTAGTGGCTAGGGACATGACAATAAGGTGAATATGATTTAAATCTCTGCAATGTTTGTGTGTGTCAGTTTCCTCTCTGATTCAGCTTCCCCAGCACCCAGCCCAGCCTGGATCTCAGCTGCTGCACTGCACTTTGCAATTAGAGAAGTTAGGAAGGAAAATGTCAAGGCACATCTGAAAAGGCTAGACTTCGAGAGAAAGGAGGTAAGACACAGAATTTTCAATACCTTTCTTCTAGTGAGCTTAGTTTTAATCATTTAAGTGAGGTATGCCTAATGGCCTTCCTTCCTTCCTTTTCCAAGAAAAACATTACATTTGGAGTTGTCACTATTTCAGAGTAAAACTGTTAGCTGTTTGTTTTCAGTAAGCCTCTCAAGTTTATTGGTAAAGTGCTTTACATTTCTCTTTGGAAGTGTTTCTGTTGGGCTTGTTTTTGCCTGCACTACCACCTAGTATAAAGCCACCAGCAGTGTCCATATCTCCCATATTTGCGTTGCCATAACTGACTTGTGCTGCAGGGGACTTAAAGAGGGCAACTCAGACTCTGCACAGGTGCCAGGAGGAATTGTTGCAACTTCTAAGTGAGAGACAGTCAGGACTTAGGCACTGGACCCAAGAGAAAGAGCCTGACTAGCGCCCTCTTGTCAGAACTCACAAGACCTTTAAGAAAATTTAGGGCATTTGTAAGCCAAGATTTTTTGGGATACAAGAAAACAGGAACCAGCATCTGAGGAGGAAGCTGGAAGTAAGTCATGTTGTACACCCTCCCACACACGCACACTCCTAAATGCAGGACCTCTGCTAGCATACATGCACAAAATAAAATGTAGTAAAAATTGTTTTAAATGGCCCTATATGCCATAATTTATTCTGACATAAGCTCCTAAATGATAGAAAGCCTGGAATTGGAGGTTCATACTAGCAATCATAGCTCTTAGAAGGCTGAGACAAGAAGATTGCTGGAATGAATTTGAGACTATCCAGGACTACACAGTGAGACCCTGTCTCTAAAAAAAAAAAAAAAAACATAGTGAGTTAGAATTTTCCCCCACCTGAGATCCACTTAAGGGCCTTAAGCTCTAGCCTAGAGTATCAGTGCGTGACTTTCATGTGTTAACTGTTTTCCTCTTAGCTACTCATCTCCCTCCTCTTCTTTTCCTTGATGAGCCTACTCTCGTCCTACCTGACCCAACAGGTAAGTCAGACCTTTTAGCCAAGCAGGCATTTTCCCCTAACCCTGGGCAGGTCAGGAGCACAAGGTAATAAGTTCCAGGTCCACTCAGACTTCAGTTCAGATCTCTAGGTATTTCAGACCCTGTTTCTTGTTTGTTCTTCCTTTTGATGTCTTGCTCCAGAACATGGTATAGCGACGTGGTATATATGAGCATTTTCCATCTAGAAAGCCCAAGGCAATGCCTTTATTTAGGTTGTGTCATCAATTTTAGACTCTGGAAAGTAAAAAGGAACCACCCTATTCATGGTGAGGGCTAAACCCCGAATCCACATAAACACAGCAGCTCTTGGGAACAGCTTTGTCCACTGGCACAAAGATTAGCTCTCTACCTACTCAGCTCTTCTGAGAGTTCTTCTATGGGTCACAGGACACTGCTGAGTATCTGAAAGCCATGGATATCTGTGCCGAGGTCCTCATGTGCTTGGAAAGAAGGAAGGTTTCCTGGCTCATGCTCTTCCAGTTGACAGAGACAGGTGAGAAGCCATGTGTCCCTGGAATAGTATGTGAAAGCTAGCTCTACCCAAGATGAGCAGACATAAATTGATGAACTACCATGACAACTATCAGTCTTCAGAAGTAACTTTCAAACAGTTAAGAACAAGCTTTGCTTTGGAGTCACCCTTTATGGGTTTAACTTTACTGAGTTTATAAACCCTACTTCATTTGGGGTACAAATTCAGGATGTACCCATAAGAATCGACTGGGACACTCAAAGGTCCAGAATGTTGCTACCCACAGGCACACTGTAGGGGGAGCAGTGGGAGAGGGTACTTGTTAAACCTCCAGTCTCTGTTGTACTATGTGAGCATATCACCTCCATTTTCCCAGAACACAAGGAAGTGACTCTCTTTCCAAGGAGCTCTTAATGGATGTCCCCAGTGTAGATCACAAGCCCCTGGATGTTACCACAGCTAGATTTAAAAAAAAAAAAAAAAAAAAAACCTCCTCAGAGCACATGACATCTTGTAGTCATCCCACAGCACTGACACTGGGTTCAGGAACCTAAAGAACTGATGAACTCCTTAATTTTACAGATGCTGAGCTAGGGCATCTCCTCCACTTGGCCCCAGATCAGTACGCCAGGTTGCTACCATTTGCTTTCTACAGGTAACTACCTGTTAGTCAGTGGTGAGTAAGTCCATCCTTGTAGTGCCTGGCACGGTCAAAGAAAAGGCATTGTTTCCCCAAGGTCTCTCTTGTCACTCCGTTCCACAAATAAAGTGTGTACTTTCTGTGCTAACTGCTACTTACCTCTCAGTATCTACAAGTCCTTTATCATTTTGCCTTTATCTGCAGTCTTCTCTCCTACTTCAGTGAAGATGCCATCATCAAGGAAGAGGCTTTCCTGTATGTTGCTGTCGATATGTACCTCAAGCTGATGCAGCTTTTTGTAGATGGGAAAACCAGGACTGTGTTACCTCAGGCCAGCAAAAGCTTAAAGCTCCAAGGCCACTCCTTGCTCCCGGTAAGCTCCCCCCCACCCCACCCCGAGCCTATGAGGCAACCATTCCTTAGGAACAGCAACTGAGATATGCTAGTACTGATTCAGTGTGCCTGACCCACGACTGCCTGTCTCCGTTCTAGGGTAGTCCTGTACAACTGATAACGGAAGCACGTAATTTTCTGCTGCAGCTAATACCTCAGTGCCCAGAACAGTGCTTCTCCAACATGACAGAGGTAACAAATCCAGAGATATCCTTGAGCTGATTTCACAACTTAGGTCAAATGAGAAGTCATAGGCCTGTGGCACTTGAGATGGTAGTTGCATACCACAGACCCAAGAGTCGACTAGTTCTTGATCTACAAACAACTTACTCAGGCTATCCTGAGAGGCTGTGGGCACTAATCAATATATTTTCTCATAGCTGCTGGCTGGTCGAGAAAACTATGACCCTGAGATGATCAACACCCTCTTGCGAAAGCAGCAGGCTGACTCCAACTTTGATCTCTACCAGGAACCTCATCTGTTCTGACTGTACCCATCTCAGTGCACCAGCCAGCACCTTTGTGAATAATTTATTGCAAGCATAACATGGAGTTCTTGTTACACTGGAAAGTAGATTACAAATCTCCTTGATTGCTCTAGTTGGGAAAAAAAGTTAATTATTCATAATTTGTTTCTAGCCTTAAATTGCTCAGTATCCATCCATAGGAAAATAAACTGCTGGTACCACAGCAGGTTGAAGTACACACCAAGCCTACCTCCCTCACCTAGAGAGAGGTACCCTCCAACATACGGCTGTTGGATATGTGAGGTGGAGTGCAGCATGGGGTCCAAAGAGCAAGCAGAACTATGCCAGTAGGGAAGTGAGGAACACTGATGTCTTTAAACCTCACATCACACCTGCTGAGTTCAAGTGGCTCAAGATGCCCAGTGTTCCACCTGCCGTTCTCAGGTAGGCTCAGGTTTCACAGCTTGACCCTCCATGGTCCCAGAGAGGCTCAGGGGCCCAGGTGGGGGCTCTGCTTCCAAAGGCAGGGCTTTGTCCTGGGTCTGGGTCAGAGGATGTACCATGGACATATGCACATTGAGGTTGTGGGCCTTTTCAAACCGACGGCCGCACTGGTCACAGGCGAAGTCCAGCTCAGTCTCTGCTTTGTGTTTGGTCATGTGGTACTTGAGGGATGCTCGTTGCCTGCACTGGAACCCACAGACCTCACACCTGGAGGGCAGAGGCAGGTGAGATAAGCTGCACCTTGGCCCAGTCATGGGAAGTGCCCAGCCCACACTTACTGCAGTGGCTTGGCTCCAGAGTGACGCATCTGGTGGACAAGAAGGTGCTTCCGCTGCTTGAAGGTCTGCCCACATTCGTCACAGATGTAATTGCGTACCTCTGCAAGACCAGAGGGGTTGTGAGCACCAGTCTCAAATACCCAAATCTGCTCCAAAATGGGTGGCAGTTATTACTGCTTTATATATAACAAAGATGTGCCCAAGCAAGAACTGTTGAGAACCCAACATTATTTAAAATGAAAGATAATTTTGATATAAAGAACTTCACTAATGTTTCTAATACAAAGCAGTTACATGGCTAAGTTTTCCCCCAAAGAAACTGTGTGTATATTTGTTTGTTTGTTTGTTTTTCAAAAGAGGGTATCTCTGTGTAGTGTAGCCTTGGCTATCCTTGGACTTGCTCTGTAGAGCAGGTTGGCCTTGAACTCAGAGATCTGCCTGCCTCTGCCCTGCCTCCCAAGGGCTGGGATTAAAGGCATACACCACCACTTCCTGGCTTGTTTGTTTTTGAGATAAGATCTCACTATGTGGCCCTGGTGGCCTACATAAATACATGCACCACTACGTTCAGCCCGAAGCTCCTTTGGGGGCACAGACTTCTTAGAGAACATGATCTCTAGAAGTCATCCCAAAGTAGAAACCTAAACAGTGGAGACAGCATCACTGGTGGAAGTGAAATGATTCAATACACTTTGGAAATCAACTTCTTTAGCTCTTGAACAAAAACTTAGCCACATCACATGCATGGTGGCACACACCTGTAATCTCAGTGCTTAACAAGGTCATCCTCTGCTGTATATTGAATGTGAGACCAGCCTGAACTACATGAAACTGTCTCTAAAACAAAACAAGGATCATCAAGAAGGGTCAGCAGGTAAAATCTGCTTCCAAGACTGATGACCTGAATTCAATCCCAGATCTCACGTGGTAGAGAGAACTGAGTTCTACAAACTCATTTGACCCCCACATATGCCATGCGCACAAGTACTTTTTTTTTAACATACCAGTACTATGTATTAATTCTACTTGTTCCAACCCATGATGCCTACACAGCTGTAAAAAATCTGACTTCTAAGCTGGACTACTTAAGGGTCTATGTTTCACCTCTTCAGAAAGCTGCTGCTGTGTCGACTAGTGACTGGCTAGATAGCTAGACCAAAGGAAATTACTCTTATCAGGACACATGCCCACATTATTACTAAGGAGTAGAGGTTAGAAAATCGATATATATCTGGGTTTCATCATAAAACCAAGTATATAATCCAACAATAAGATTCACAAATGCTGATATAAAATGGATTTTTGACATCTGTAAACCTCAGAAAAATGTAACAAATCTACCTGCATGAATGCCAGAGGAAGTTAATTCTTTTTTCTACATTTTTAAATTTGGGGGTGGTGTGCACATGCCATAGCAAGTGTATGGAGGTCAGAAGGCAGGCTGCAAGAGTCAGCTCTTCTACCATATGGGTCCTAAGGAGATGGACTCCAGTCAGTTCTAGTTTTTGGTTGGTTGATTTGGTTTTTGTGAAATAGGGTTTCTCTATGTAGCCCAGGCTGTCCTAAAACTCCCTATGTAGCCCAGGCTGACACTGAACTCAGATCTGCCTGCCTCTAGCTCCCAGGTGCTGGTATTAAAGGTGTGCACCACCACCCTCACCACCTGGTACTCTAGTGTTAATTCTTAAAGGTGGTGACTTCGCAAAAAGAGTACTAATTCTGGGCTATCAATTCTGAAAAGTTGCTCAGACCTCACAGCAGGGGAAAAAAATTGCCTTCGTCAGGAATTCAACAGACAAGACTCAAAATGTGTATATGGATTCAGAATACCATGTGATAAAGAAGCACCTGACTTCAAGCTTTGTGAGCCACTGGGGCATGGCCTGCTTTTAGGGGGTGTCCCTCTGGCTGGGCACCTGGGATCCACTGACAGCCAAACCCAAGCTCATGAGGCACAGCCTGAGGCAGGTACCTGTGTGGATGAGCTTCACATGTCGTTGCAGGTATCGGTCGATCATGAATACCTTGTTGCATCCAGGATGTGGGCAGGGCCTCTCCCGTACCTCCTCATGGTGTTCCTTAATGTGCTTCTAGAGGAAGAAGGGACAGAGACCCTGGTGTTTAGTCTGGGCACATCCTACCTCCCAAGAGAGCCTGTGTAGTGGTCTCATCAATTGACAATTGACAACTGGAAAGAGACACTTCCCTACCCTATAACACTGGCTCCTTTAAGCTAGTGTCTTAGAGCAAGGGACTGACTCCACATCCACTAGGGTCATGTGAGCCCTTGGGAAGTTGGCACTTGGCTCTACACAAGATTCATGCTAACACCCAGGACAACTCACTCAAGCACACCCAGACCTGAAAGAAGCCCTTCCTGAAGGTGATGCCCATTTCTTACCTTCATGCCATCAGCCCCACGGTATACAGCTGTGCAGCCCTGGTAAGGACACTTATAGATGGTGGGCAGCTCCTCCCTGTAAGGCAAAGCACACGTGGAGGTGCTGACCCAATATACAAATGCCCCACACTGCAGCCTGTTTACCTCTCACATCGGAGCTTTTTCTTCCATCCAGGCTTGGGCCCAGGCTTCTTTCTGATTTTGGGCTCTTCAGGCTTCTTGGCTTCTTTGCTTTCGATCTTCTTACTAGAGACCCTAGAAGGGATAAAGAAAACAGTCTGGTGATGTTTCTATCTGCAAATGGTTGTCTCCCTGCATGTCCAGTTTCCTTTAAGCTTTCCTGACTCAGCTGCCTCTATGCAGACTAGGGCCTCACCTACCATTAGCCACCAGTCAGTACAACTCTTGAGAGGGTTAGAAGTCTGGAGCAGTTACCGTGGGAAGGTATGCAGAACTGATGATAGCATGGAGCACACATGCTATCACATATATGAAATTTCAGAAGTAAAGTCCTATGTGCTAAGAACCCAAATCAAGAGGTGGAGATATGGAAAATGGTAGAGAATTCTATCAGTCATGTTACCAGATGACCTCATACTAGAAAGGAGCTCAGCGTTACTGCTGCACTTGAGATTCTGTCAGGCACCCAGCAGCCTAGGGCATACCTTCAGTCCCAAATGTAGCTATACTTCATACACTAACAACAAAGAGTTCAAAAAGGAAACTAAGAACACAACTTATGTTCAATAGTATCAAAAAGGCTAGGCCAGGCGGTTGTGGAGCACACCTTTAACCTCGGTACGGAAGGTAGAAATAGATCTCTGTGGGTTCCAAGCCAGCCTGGCCTACAAAATGAGTTCCAAGACAGCCAGGGATCTACAGAGAAATCCTGCTCCCCAAAACAAACAAGAATAGTAGGCCAGCATGATGGTGCATACCTGACCTGTCAGCTGCTCCAGGGATGATGCACGCACTGCTTGAGCCTGAAAATTGAGTACAGCCCAAACAACACACCAAAGCCTCATCTCAAAACAAGCAAACAACGAAAAATTCAGCCATTTCTGTGGGGGGAAGTATAGCTCCATTGTAAAGCAGCTGTCTGATATGCACAAGGTCCTAGATTTAATCCATCCTCAAATGAATTTTTGAATTTATTTTTATTTTATGTGTACACAGGTATTTTGCCTGCATATGTCTGTGCTTTACATTGCCTGTGGTGGCCAGAAGGGGGCGTCAGATCCTCTGGAACTAGAATTACAGACTTGTTCCCTGCCACATGGGTGCTGGGAAACAAAACAAAAGCAACAAGTACACATGACTGTTGAGCAGTCTCTCCAAACCCAAAATATATTTTTTTAACCAATAACAGAAGCCAAACAAGGTCATACAGGCCTGAAATCCTAGTCAATGAAAGGGCTGAGGCAAGAGGATCACAAAGTAAAGGCTAACCTAAGCAACTTAGTGAGACCCTATTTAAAAATACAAAAATTGGCTGGGTGTGGTGGCACAAACCTTTAATCCCAGCACTCACTAGGCAGAGGCAGGCAGATCTCTGTGAGTTCAAAACCAGCCTGGTCTACAAGAGCTATTTCCAGGACAGCTTCCAAAGTCACAGAGAAGCCATGTTTCAAAAAGCTAAATAAATAAATATACAAATAAATGCAAAGATTTTTAAAAAAAAAGTGTGGTGAAGCAGTTCAGGAGAGTACTTAATTTGTACAAAGCACTCAGTCAATAACCCATATCTCAAAGTAAATAACAATATATAAAACCCAGTTAGTTTATTATTTATGGATTGGCAGTGACTTAGATCTAGCCCTATCTTTCTGGGATTCTGCATCCCCGTAGAACAAATGAGATACTTAGGAATAATAAAATTGAACAGAAAGCCCTGCCATGTGGTACACCCAGCACCCAAGAGACAGTGTTAGGAAGATCTCTGAGTTTGAGCTAGCCTGGTCTCTAGGAGTTCCAGACAGCCAGGGCTACACAGAGGAAACCCTGTCTCAAAATAAATAAAAAAATAAAAAATTGACCAAAGAAAGTGAAAAACTTCTTTGTTAAAAATTATAACATTTAAAGACAGTAAGTAGAAAGATAATTTTATGTTTATGAATAAGAATTAATTTAGGGGCCAATGTTGTCTACACAGTGAGTACTAGGAAAACCAGGGCTACATAGTGAAACCCTGTCTCAAGAAACCAAAAAGGAAAACAAAACAAAAAGAACATATATATATATATATATATATATATATATATATATATATATATATGAGAATATGATGTGGTATCACTTACCTATAATCATAGCGTCCCAGGAGACAGAAACAGAAGGATCATGAGCTCAAGGTCAGCCTAAGATACAGATCAAGACTCTCTCTCTCTCTCTGTCACTCACTCACACACACACACATACACACACCACCCTCCTAATCTTAAAAGATGGTTGTCCAGTATTGGTGACACACACTTTTAATCTCAGCACTCAGGAAGGAGGCAGAGGCAGGTGAATCTCTGAGCTCAAGGCCAGCCTGGATTACAGAACAATTTCTAGGATAGCCAGAGCTACACAGAAACACTGTCACCAAAATAAATAAATAAATAAATAAATATTTTAAAAAGTTAACTTGCTTAGCTCTGGAATCAAAAGCAAACCCTTGGGCATATCTGTAAGGGATTCTCTAGATGAGTTATTGGAAGTAGAAAAACCCACACATGGGTAGCCAACTTCTAGTGGCAACTCAAATAAAAGGAGTTGGAAGAAGTTTTGCTTTCTGCCTGCTTTCCTTCACTGTCCTGGCAAGTTCATCTATTCTATTGCTGCTGTTTCTTTGCTGATACCAGAACCCAGCTTCTTCAGGCTTCTAACACGAACTGAAGACCAGTGGCTCTCCAGGAATCCTCCAGGCCTTCAATACCAGGTTATGACTGTTAAGACTGGGGAAATACCCAGTTCTCAGCCTCTCCAGAATAAGACAGTCATTGTTAGACTACTCAGACTATATCATGTAAGCCAACCTAGTAAATCTCCTTTAAGTATATATTCATTCTATTCCTTTACAGAACAATGGCAATACAATTCCAATACAGTCTACCCAAGCAGTCTACAGATTCAGTAAAATCCCTGCCAAAATCAAAATGGAGGTTGGTTGTGATAACACATGCTCATAATCCCAGTATGGGAGGATGAGGCAGGAGAATCACAAGTTCAAAGCCTGCCTGAGCAAAGAAGCACACACACCTTTAATCTCAGGACTTGAGAGGCAGAGGCAGGTAAGATCTCTGTGAGTTCGAGGCCAGCCTGATCTACAGAGTGAGTTCTACAGCTTGTTTACAGCTTGGGATGTTACATAGAGAAACCCTATTTTGAAAAACAACCATAAAAAAGCAAGAGCCTATCTCAAAAAATAAAAACAGAAGGCTGGGAAGTATAGCTCATTCATTATTTACTAAGCATATGCAAGGCCCTGGATTCAGTTTCCAGGATGGCAAAAATAAATAAACAAAAATACAAATGAACTTTTTGGGAGCAAGAAATAGAAAGACCTAACTGAAGTTTAACAGAACTGTTGGGGACAGTTTAGAGCCAAACAAGGCTTTTGTTGGTGCCTGTGAGGCAGGATCTCAATGTAATCTAAGCTGTCCTGGTACTAAAGAGATGTCTTGGTAGTTAAAATACTTGATATTCTTGCAGAAGACCCAGGTTTGATTCCCAGAACCCACATGACACTTAACAACCATCTCTAAGTCTGGTTCCAAGGATACAATCTCTTCAGATCTCTGAGGGCACTGCATTCACCTGGCATACAGACCATGTATACAAGACATTCACACACTTAAAACTAAATAAATCTTTCAAAAATAAAACAAATGGTTAATTTTTAAAAATTAAGGCCAGGCATAATGATAGGCACTTTAATCTCAACACTCAGAAGATAAAGGCAGATGGCTCTCTGAGTCTGAGGATATCCTGATATACAAGAAAAAAATTCTATTCCAGACAGGACTCCATCTCAGGAAGTTTAAAAAAAAAAAAAGAGCTAAGCATGCCATTACCTATAGTCTCAGCACCTAGGTCAAGGCAGTATGATCAGTCCAAGGTCACCTTCAGTTACACAGAGTTCAAGGTCAGCCTGAAAAATATCAAACCCTATCTCAAAACAAACAAACAAACCTAAGTAACCCAGTATGGTGGGACACACCACAACTTTCAGGAAGCTGGGGCAGAAGGATCAGAATTTCAAATCCTACTTAAGTTACACAGTGAGTCTGAGTCCAGTGTGGGCTACATAAGGAATTCGAGATGAGTCAGAGCTATAGTAAGATAGGATCTCAAACACTCAAACAACACACACACACACACACACACACACACACACACACACAAAGAAAATCACCAGCCCATATAGGCTTCATAGGTAAACTGCCCTGTCTAGCTCAGGTGCTCTCTGCTTTGAACTACAGTGCTCTGAGCAGTCCATCCCTGAAGCTGTTATTCACTCAGGATGAGTACCCACCAGCCAGAACTCTAAAGGCTAAGAGAAAGGCTGAAGAGGCAATTATGTGAGTAAGCACACAGACCAATGGTTTCTTGACACCCTGTTTTCAAAAATCCTCAGCTGAGGGGCTAGAAAGATGAATTAGAGGTTGCTGAGCACTGGATGCTCTTGCAGAGGGCCCAGGTTTAGTTCCTAGAACCTACATGACAGCTCCTAACTATCTGTAATCCCAGTACCAGGAGATCTGATGCTCTCTTTTGACCTCCAAGAGTTTCCACATGCACTTACTTAGTACACATAAATGAACTCAGGCACACACATATACACATAAAAAAAAAAAAAAAAAAAAAACTATTTTTAGGGTTAGAGAGATGGCTCAGCAGTTAAGAGCACTGGCTGTTCTTCCAGAGGACCTGGGATCAATCCCCAGCAACCACAATTCTCACAACCACCTATAACAAGATCTGGTGCCCTCTTCTGGCATGCAAGCATACGTAGAGGAAGAACATTATATACATAATAAACAAATAAATCTTTAAAAAAAAAAAAAAAAAAAAAACTATTTTTAAAACCCCCAGCTGAAGCCAGGCAGTGCAAACATTTACCCTGTACTCAGGAAGCAGAAGCTAGTGAATGTGAGTTAGAGGCCAGCCTGGTCTACAAAGCAAGTTCTAGGATGGTTTGGGCTATACAGAGAAACCTGGGAGTGGGGGGAACGTCCCCAGCTGAGCCTCACTATAATGTCTGAAAACAAAGAAGCATTCAGGTAAAGTAGAGTTCCCACTAAAAATAGCTAATATTTTTAAAGGTATCTGAAAATGTATGGGGGGGGTGGTACACACCTTTAAATCCCAGCACTTGGGAGGCAGAGGCAAGCAGATTTCTGTGAGTTTGAGGTCAGCCTGGTCTACAGAGCTACTTCAAGACAGCCAGAGCCTTACAGAGAAATCCTGTCTCGGATAGATAGATAGATAGATAGATAGATAGATAGATAGATAGATAGATAGATAAATAAATAAATAAATAAATGTATCTCATATGTCCCACCCAAAACACATTATCTTCAAGTCTGAGTGAGACAAGTACACAGCAGAACATGTTGTTCACATCTGAGCAACATGGGCTCAGCAGAATAATCACTTCCCAATCTTCTAAAAATGAAACCCACTAACCCTCCAAACTACCTATGAAAGTGACTCAAGGTGGAGGTCATTGAAAAGGGAACAGGGGTTCCTATGGCAGCCCAGCCTGCACTCTGGCCATGCTTTCCTGGAGCCTCAGACAGCTCTCTGTCCTGTGAGACGCGCTGAGGCCATGTGGCTTGGTATTGTATTCTGATCTCCCCATGCCTCCCGCTCTATTTTTACTTCTCTTTCCATAAGGAATATTAGAATTTAAATTAAAAAAAAAAAGAAACCATGAAATTCTCAATCTTTTTGAAGGGTGTTCTTGGCTGTTCTTTGGATTTTCACTCTGAACTGTGAAATGCTCAGAGCACTCCAGCAATGAGGCAGTCACTAACTAGCTATTGGGTATGTAGGTATTCTTGGCATATGGCTAAGAGGAAAGAGACCCAAGTAAAAAATAGCTCTGTCTCTCCTTTATAGGATCCTATGTTTGTTTGGAGAAGGAAAAGGGAAAAAAAAAAAAAAAAAGCCAAAGCGATGTCACACAAGAGGCTTAACAAAGAATGAACAATGTCTTCCTGGCTAAAGAAAGCAGAGCCAAGGACCAACTTGAGAATGGTCACAAGGCTAATCCTGGACTTTAGAAGAGGAATGATCCAGGGAACAAAAGGAACAGTTAGAGTAGGGACAGGAAGATGCTAAGGGACACACTAGAAGTAAGACTAGAAAAGGACCACTAAGGTACTCCCTACAATGGGGCTGTCTTACTAACAGGGCTGCCAGCCACCTTGTGATACACACAGGTTCCCAAACCACCAGAGGTCAAGGGGAATCCTATCATATTCAGTTGTTCATTTGGCCTTACAAGCAGACCTCCTGATTCATTTAGAACCCACTGAAATGGCTCCATAGGTGAAAGGCACCTGCCACCAAGCCTGACAACCTAAGTTTGATCCCTAGAACCAGTGGAAATGGTCCTCTGACCTCCCCATGTGCAAATACACACACACACACACACACACAAATAAATAAGTGTAATAAAAAGAAAAAAAGAAGAAGCTGCCATGCTCACTGGACTTGGGAGATGAAGCCAAAGGAAAAACAGGAAGTGACTGAGGCCATTCAGGAAGTATAGGCCTTCATATCCCATTTTTTAAACCCTCATGACTCCTTTGTGCACCAAGGCTAACTTGTACAGCATCACTCTAGACATCATATGCTTGGACAGGGCTATACTCTTACTTCTTTTCTGGGTAAGGCTCAAAGGACTCATCCGAGGACTGTGGGTTTTGCTTCTTATCATTCTCATCGTCACTCAGGAAGTCTCTAGGAAAGATGAGAGATCTTTCAGCAAAGCACTGGCCTGGGTAGACAACAAACCCAATGCAACCTCCTGTCTTCAGGCGCTACAGACCCCATGCCCACACTTTGCTTCTGAATGTGTCTAAAGAAATCTAAAATTCCCAACTTTTCAATCTATGTCCTAACAAGAAGGACAAGCCAGACACTGAAACCAAACAAGCCAGCAATCCTCCCTCCCTGTAAGCCACTCTTTCCTAATACCAGAACCCCAAACTCTGAAACAGCTTATTTCTTTATGGCTGAGACACTGTGAAGATTTAAAGGCAGATTCAGAAAGTAACTCTTTCACCCATCAACTGTGAACATAGGCACACTGATAGCCATTTCAAAGTTCACAACAACAAATGGTTTATGACCTTCACCCTAAAACATGAATCACTGGCCTCTATTGAGCAGCAAACAGTCAGTTTAACAAGCCCACAGTGTTCCCCACTGGATGGGGTTAGACGTGGAGCTACAGGCAGTCTATACCCAAAGACAGTCCTGGTCCTCACAGGAGTTGAACCAAAATTTAGTTTGTCCCTCCCTATTTGGATGATGGTGCATCTGCACCCCAGTCTAAGCCATGGGGCAGGATAGAAGGGGGTAAACACCAACTAAGTGGTTCTCAACAGAGCCAACAAACCCTGATTCACCCCTTCCTCTCCTCACTGTACACAGAGCTTCTGCTCCAAGACAACACCACTATCCCAAAGGGCCTGAATCTAGCATCCTCTGTTCTAGTGACACCTGAGCTGGCACAAACTAAGGCCTTTAAGGAGGAAGCAGACAGATGACAGTAAAGGACTAACCCTGGGGAAGTTTAAAGGAGGCAATTCCAGAATGTTTTGGGTTAGAATAGAAACTGCGTTTTCCCCTGCAGTTTGCTTCATCTGGGTACCTCTGGGACCAGAAAGCCAAGTCAGGAGCCAGAGGCCTCAGAACTCCCCTAGCCACTCCTCTCCTCCCCACCTCTGAGAAGGAGGGAAGGCAAACATGCCAACCAAGGATAGCAGCTCTAGGGAGGCTGAGTCTGATTTTCAAAGGAGAAATGTTAAGCTTTTTAAACCCACTCTTCTCTCACCCCTCAGAAAGGTCACTGAACTCGTCTTTTACCCGATCATCCAAGGTTGAAGATGGAACCTGCTTCTCACCCAGTTGCCCTGGGAAACAAAAAATGGGCTCTGGTTACTAACATTGAGCACAGAAAGGGCCTCACCTGTAAGGAGGCAAAGTCTCTAAGGACACAGCCTTCCTTACTAGGGCCAGAAGGCCTCTGGCCTCAGTTTCCTCCATTCTCACCCCACCCCTTCCCCCCCCACACACACACACATTCACTATGCCAGTCTCTGTTCAAAGGAAGAGGAGGCAACATATCCCTTTTTAGATTCAGTTCTAGGTGAGAATAGCCCACTCTGGATAGTTTACAACATTGTAAAGGCGACAGTTATCAAAAGAGGTATGCATAAACTTTATAAAGTCAAGCATTCTAAGATACCATATTCTAAGATGTCTGTAACATCCTCCTAGGTCCTTGCCTGGAATCTATCTCTGTCTTATTTCTAGCTGAACTACAAGGGTACCTGCATTCTTAAATTTTTTCTTTTAATGTATAAGAATGTTTTGCCTGTTTACATGCCTGGTGCCAGCAGAGGCCAGAAGAGGACCTCAGATCCCCTGGAACTGGAGTTATAGATGGTGATGAGCCACCATGTGGGTGCTGAAAACTGAACCAAGAGCAGCAAGGGCTCTTAACTGCTAAGTCATCTCTTCAACCCTCCTCCTGCATTCTTCTCTCTCTCTCTTTCCCTTCCTCCATCCCTCCCTCCCTCTCTTTCTCTCTCTCTCGACAGGCTCTGTCCTAGAACTCTCTATATAGACCAGGCTGGCCTCAAACTCACAGAAATCTGCCTGCCTCTGCCTTCGCAAGTGTTGGGATTAAAGGTATGTACCACTATGCTCGGCAAACCTCCTGCACTCTTAAAGAGCGCCAATGTGAATTTGCAGGTAGAAACCAGCTGAGCACCCGTAAGTGGCCATGAAAACAAGCATATGAAGTCAAGAAGCTGGCCTCAACTCTCCCAACAGGATGCCTAGCAACAGCTGCACCCAACCCTCAGCACGTGTGGGTGGGGTCCAAACCCCACAGAAGGTCCAGTCAGCAGAAGAGGCTACCACACTGGCCCACACCATGGTAAAGTAGCAGCCTCATTGTCTGCCTCCATGTCCTGCAGACAATAACCCCATTCTTCTCTCCCTCAGTCCCCTTAGCCTACAAGAACAACCAGTACCCTGTGGTCTAAGGACAGGCTTAGAAGAAGACAGGATGCCAGATGAGCATGTCATTACAGAAACTTGAATCAGAGGCCTGCTTGTGAAGGAACAAGAAGTCAAGACAGGCTGGTAGGACCATCCTACTCTTAGGTACTGGAACAGCTACAGTTCCTGTGGGAAAACACTGAGCCTGGCTCCCCATCTTCTCCTACCAGTTTCCACTGCTGTACCATGACCTACCCCCAAATAGTACAGACATCCACTTTCTGCTGAAGACAACCTTGGTCAGGATACTGAATCCTGTTCTACCATAAGCCACAGGTACTGCTTACCTGGGGCCTCACTGGGAGCCAAGTTTGGCTGAGTACAGGGGCCTATCCCAGGTCCCACAGGGTCTCCATGTGAGTGCAGCAGGGCCACATCCACATTGGGTAGTGTCTTGGTCTCAGATCCAACTTGGGTTTCTCTGGCCTGGCAGAGCTGAGAGGCAGCTCCAGTGGGGTTTAACTCTGAGTTCTCGGACAGCCGTGGTGATCTCTCCTTGCCCCATGCCCATTTCACTGCTAATGCACTGTCCAGAAAGAGAGCTCTGCAGCTGGAGTCTGTGTCCATGGTGAAGTCATGGCCCTGGTCGCAGCCCCACACAGCCTGGATGATGCCGCAGTACTCAGAGGACAGTGTCCTCTGGAGGCTGGGCAGAGACCCACAGCTGGCTGCATGTTCATGTACCCAGCCCACCAAGCTGTGCAGACACCGGGGGCTCGAGATGATCAGATCAGCTGAGGAGAATCAATAGAGATGTCAGTCTCATGGTGGCCAACACAAGGCCCGACCTGGAATACCCACCCTGGCACGAACAGCACTCACCCATACATGCTCCCTCCTCTGCCACTGTGGGAGGCTGAACACCAACCCTGCAAAGCATCAGTGTGGCCACAGTTTAGGAGCCTCTCAAGGTCACAAACCTCCCCAGGAACCCTCCACTTCTAATGATAGCTCTTCACCCTCAGACCTCTGTAAACCTTGCCACCACAGCACCTCACTGTAGTGCCATGAGAGACTTGTACTGGCTTCTGTCCACCCAAGTCACTGCCCTAAATAAATCAACACCCAGAACACAACCCCGAAGGTCCCAAGAAATCAAACAAGGGCCTACTTTGTACAAGGCTTCCGCTGGCCAGCTGGGGAGACGTTGACTCTCTGTAAGAAGGACCTGAGAAGGCTGTGGCACTGATAAAACTGGGTGTAGCAGTTCTTGCAGACAAACTGAGGCAGAGCTGGGTCCTGGCGCACAGCAACACCCAGCAGACGCTGGAAGTCCCTAATGAAGACATGCTGCCCTGGGGACAGCCTCTCTGAGGTCTCCCCAGGTACTCTGTCAGAGATACTTCGGAGGCTCCGTGAGGAAAACTTCCCATGGCAGAGGCGACAGTGCCCCATGGCAAGAGTTCGGCCTGCTCCTGAGCAAAGAAGCAAATGTGACAGTAAGTAAGATACTTACAATGTGAGGACCACACTTCCTACTAGCCTCCCAGCACCTAAAGCAGAGAAATGCCCTTCATGGGCTTCCTAAACTAACAGCTGGGCTCAGGAGCTGGCCTACCTCACTGAACACTCAACTTTTGGAGGGATACTATTAAGAAATCTTTCAAATACTTTTTGAGGTGGAGCCTCACTGTGTAGCCCACAATGGAGCTCATAACCCTCTCCCTCAGCCTTCCAATGCCACTGTGCCCAGCTCCTTTCAAAGGACCCCAGATGCCTCCAGTGAAGGTGAAACTTAACTTTTGTTCACACATTCTTATCCTGAAAGTATGTCCCAGCTGCGTCTCAAGACTCTGGCTTACTGTCCATCCACAGGTGCCCTGTCTGCAGAATGTGGGCAATGCCACCTCTTGAGAATGACTTAAGAAAGTCATTCTCAAACGGTTGAAGAGCACTACATAAATGTGACACACACTGATGCTTTACTCTAACCAGCTGCTGCTTATACACAAACTCTCAGCCAGACAGGGAACAAGTAGTTCATTTAACTGAGTTCCCACCACAGGTTCAGAGAAGTTAAGCAATTACCCTAAGAGCACATAGCACGGAGCGCTGACTTGAAACCCCATACCTGTCGGACTCCAAATCTTTAGTACTAAATAGCAGCGACACAGGGCAGGAAAAAAATCGGCTGTCTGATCAAAAGTCACTGCAACAGAAGTCAGAGGGCCCGAGCCCTCCGGAACGAGAAGGCCTGGTTTGTTCTCAGAATCACTAGGCTCACATCAGGGCCAGAGGACGCCCAGAACCCACCTGCCTCGTCTGTACCGTCCTCCCCTGTGTCCCCGCAAGAACGCGTCGAGCCCCAGCTGAGTTGTGCTGCCGCCAAAGCCGCTGCCCCATCAGCGCTCGCTCCGCCGGTGCGAGAAGGGCGACCCCGAGTCCGACCGCTTCCACAGCTACCGCCCGAACTCCCGCGCTGCCGAGCAGTCCCAGGAGACAGGAAGCGGCCGAGCCGGTCCCGCTTCATGGTGGCGTCCGCCACTTGACTGATCTCTGCTTTATGCTATTCGGTGTGGCTCGGCCCACTGGGTTCTGCTTGCCTGGACTTGACTCCACTCACTCGGTACTGTTCGGCTGCACTCCGCCCGGCTACTCGGCTCCGCTCGTTTCACCGCGATCTGAGCAGGACGAAGCGAGGGGTGGAGCGATGTGAGAAGCGGCCCGGGAGCGACAGTGGCCGCTGTTGTGTCGAGAGCTCAGAGTTCTTAGGGTCGCACAGAACTCGCGACAAGTCCATAAAGGAGGGGCAGCCGGGAGGGTAAACTGCCACGGACTGAGGCACGGGCTGTGGCACTTAACAGAAAACCGCAAAACGAGAGGTTCTTTCCACCAATCTTCTGGTCGAGACTCAGAGCAAGTACGCTCTGAATAGTTGACAAGACCCACCCGTCCCCTTCTAATCTCTAAACCTAGATCTGCGCGGCGGGGCGGGGCAGACGGAAGTGTTTCTGGGTCCCTTCCGGCAGTGTGCGGTTCCCGCAGCTCCCTCAGCTGCGCACTCCACGTTCCGGTTTGGAGGCGCCGGCCCCGCCCCTGTCGCCGCGGCCTCCCTCGCCCGGCGCCATGGCCGCTGCGGCCGGGGACGGCGCGGCGAAGCCACTGCAAAGCGCCATGAAACTGGCCAACAGAGCCATCGAACTAGACACCGGCAACCGGCCCCGGGTGAGACTGGGAGGGGCGCGGTAGCAGCTTCGGGAGGCATCTGGTCCGTGGTGGGCCAGGGCGGGCATGTGAGAGAATCCGCGCTTCCGACGCGCGCGACAGCTGTGGGACCTCGCCCGGAGACTGTGGGCGCTCTGCGGGGACCTCGGACAGCTCAACTAGCACTTGGTCTCAGATTTATCTCTTCAATGGTCGGTGAAATAGAGCCGCGGATCTGTTTGCAAAGGACCTGTGAAGCAGCCCTCCAGGATGTAAATGACAGACTGACAGACGTGTGTGTCTCGTGTGTGTGTGTGTGTGTGTGTGTGTGTGTGTGTGTGTGTGTGTGTGTGTGTGTGTTCTTGACAGAGACTGTGTAGACTTAATCCAAAAAAAGACTGGCTGTTGGCTCATTATGCTGCTGTTTGCAGTTGCCTTCAAAGGTCATTTGTAAAGAAACGCAGGCACAGAAGGGGTGTGGCCTGTCACTGAGAATGAATGCTAATTAAAAGGATGGCAACTAGGTGGAAGAGCCAGCTGAGCTACCCTTGGAGAGGAAGAATTAGTGTTTGCCCGGTTCCCGGAGTTGGTTTTCTAGGGCATCAGGTGCTCCCCACAAGACCAAAATCTAATCTTTGAAGTGTTGAATTAATTAAGTGTGGGTAATTTAACGATGGATAAAACAAAACAGATACATACCAGAGTGCTTCTACCCTGAGCTGCCACACAGCTTAGGTCAGAGGGGTCACAACGCTGACACCTACCTGCAACTCTGGAGTCTGGACAATGTTGTTGCTAAGCCAGAAAGTGAGACTGAGAGATGAGCCCTTATTCTCTCCTCAGACTTCCAGGAAATATTTTTCATAAGACATGAAAAAACTACTGGTCTTTGAGTTACACAGGAAGGGGACTCTTATTCAGAGTGGAAAATGATGTCACTGCCGAGGCTGCTTTACCAAGCCTCAAGACTGAAGCTCCAATGTGTCAAGCTGGGAACTCCATAGTGCAAAAGTTGTGGGTAGAAATTCCCTGATTTTGTTCTCAGATGCAAACTTTTTTCCTTCAAGTCTAGACAGTAGGGATACTGCCCCTGTCCTAGGTGGACCATCACTGAAGTCTAGAAGTCTCTTAAAAATGCATAGGCACTGTTGATCCTGTGTTTTCCACATCCACTGGACAGGCATGATGTAGGCACTTCCATTTACTAGCCTGACCCTTGCCTTTCTCTTCCCTGCATACAGGAGGCATACATGGAATACCTGAGGAGCATCCACTACATCTCCCAAGTGTTACTGGAAGATGTGGAAAACACTACAGGTGTGTTTTCACACTTGCTTCTTCTCTTATGATGGCAAGTTGTGGATAACTTAGCCCTTGGTGATCCCCAAGGCTGGAGTTCTGCTTCTTTTTACCATTAGTATAGAATGTCATGATGTAGCATGGTGGCATTGAAGGGCAGTATTGATGGATGAAGGGATAGATCACGGATTGGGTCAAGATACTGCCTCAAGGCAGTGAAGAGAGAGCTGCACAGAAGGGGAGGCATTGCCAGCAGAAGTACATTCAAAGTCAGAGAGAAGGAAGGAGTTACAGCAGTGCTTTGTACATCTTAGATGGAATTGAAAGGGAGCTTTAGGAACCTCCCAAAGCTCTGCCCAACATTGGGAGGAGCAAAGACCTTGAATGTATCTTGAAGCAGAAACCAACCAGACCTGCTAGGGTTGATGGTGAGTTTCATGAGGGGATGTTCCAAGTAGATGATGGGCAACTTTATGTGTAAGGGGAGAAACAGTGAATTCCACTGTGGGGCTAGGGATGTAGTTCAGCTGGTAGAGAGTACTTTCCTAGCATACATAAAGTCTTGGAGTTGGTCCCTGGCACTGCGTAAAGTATTGTGGTAGCCCAAGTCTGAAATCTTAGCATTTAGGAGAATCAAAAGTTCAAGATCATCCTCAGTTACATGGTGAGTTTGTGGCCAGCCTGGGCTATATGAGACCCTGTCTTGAATTTCCAAAGATTAGAGAATTCCACTGTGAACATATAAAGTCTGAGATACAAGCAACTCTCTGGACATAGGAACATGAGTGAGGAGAGCTAGTGAGGAGCTCAGCTGAGGCCTGACACTTCAAAGATCGAAGTATCAGGACTATCAGGAGGGAGCCTTAAGGGAAGCGGTAGCCCAGAACATAGAAAAAAATTGGATGATTTGCCATCTTTGGCAAAGTAAGGGCGGGGTAGGGGAATTTGAATGCTAAATGGTGGTGGAATGAAGAGAAGATGGAGTTTATAAGGGATTTATTGTAAGGGAAACAGGAAAATGGGTCCAGGAGCTATGTAAACTTGGCAAAGTACCAGTAAAAGATGTGTCTACTGATATAAGCAGGCCCATGGAGGGAAAAGAGCAACACAGACCCCTGGGGGTCAAGGATAGAAGGGCAAAAGTGCTCACTGAAACACCTGCAGGGGGCAAGTCTGTGATACAGGCAGCTAGTAGGTGGTGAGCCAGGACAGCCTGTAGCACCCATGTCTGTGCTGTGGCCATGAGGGCTCCATGGCCATCCCCAGAAGGCAAGCAAGAGTCAATCTGATGCTTGGCTGCCAATCGTGATTACATTGTCTTGAGCCATAGTGAGATGAATAAGGATGCCTAACTTACAGTTCCTTGTTCTTAGTAAGAATATGAGTCACAGTAGAAGCACTATAACCATCCCCCATGTTCCTTCCCTAGAATCTGGGGAAACTGTGCCCCCGGAGACCTCAAAGATGCTGAAGCTAGCTGAACAGTGTCTGGAACGGGCCCAGTCAACAGCTACCAAACTTGGTGGGTACCCAAAGAAGGGGGATCTTGGTACCTGCTTTGTGGGATGATCTCTAGCCTGCTGACCAGGGTGCTATACATGGCTTGCAGGGAAAATATGCCTGAAGCCAGCTGTACCTGTGGCTCCTCCCATCCCATTGCCCACCAGCCGACACCGCCGAGTGTGTTCAGACGAAGGAGGGAAACTCTCCCCTTTCCTGCCTCCTGAGATCTTCCAGAAGCTGCAGGTGGCAGAACCACAAAACTCTAAGAAGTAAGATGGACAATATTGGTGGGGGGAGGGGCTGCTAAAGCTGTGGATGTTGGAGGCTGAGCAAAGGGAGCTTCTCTTGGGGTAGTCAGTTAAAGTGGTTCCCAGAATTGACACAATTCTGACAGGAAGAAACTACCTTCATCCCTCAAAAAGTTAGCAGGAAACAAAGATAGCCATATAGAAACAGAAATGATAAAGTAGTGGTTTTTATCAGGCACAGGTCAAACAACACTGAACTTTGTTTAGAAATGCAAAACCAAGTTTGGAAACACCTAAACAAGAAACTCTATAAAGTCAGAGCCAGCAAATATAAATGAAGTAGAAATGAAATCAAAATACAATGCTGAAATTTGTCTTTAAAAACTAGTTAGGGGCTGGGCAATGGTGGTGCACACCTTTAATCCCAGCATTTAGGAGGCATATGCAGATGGATTTCTATGTGTTTGAGGACAGCCTGGTGCACAGAGTGAGTTCAAGGACAGCGAGGCTACACAGATAAATCCTGTTTCAAAAAGAAAAAAAAGAAAGAAAAAAACAAAACCAAAGCTAGTTAGGGGATCTGATACCTTCTTCTAGCCACCTTGAGTACCAGGCACACACACATGATACACAGATACACATGCAGGCAAAAGACCCATACACATAAAAACAAAATAGTCACAGTAAATAAATAAAAACTAGATAATTGAGAATGTGGTGGAATGGTAGAGTGCTTCCCTAGCATGCATGAAGCCATGGATTTGATCCCTATTACTGCCTATAATCCCAGTACTCAGGAGGTGGAATCAGGAGGATCAAAGGTTCAAGTCTACCATACTGAATTTGTGGATAGCCTGGCCAGGGGAGGTAGCATATGCCTGTAATCCCAGAACTGGGAAGGTAAAGGAAGGAAAAGCATGAGGTCAGGGCCTGCCTTAACAATCTAGCAAGTTCAAGAACAACCTGGGCTACTCTGCCTCGGGGGGGGGGGGGAGGGAAGGCTGGGAAGTGGTAGCACATGCCTTTAATCCTATCTCTCAGGAGGCAGAAACAGAAAGATCTCTGTGAGGCTAGCCTGGTCTTACAGAGTGAGTTCTAGAACCACAAGGGCTATCTCTAAAAAACAAAATAAATATAACACTAATGAAAGATACCAAGACACAGATGCAGGAAACTCAGTGAACCCAACATGGATAAATCAGGCCCCTCTTACTACATGTCCCAGAGGTACCTTTACCCTCCAGGTTCCTCAGGCCCCACCTGTCTGTGTGTGCAGCTTCAGCACTGGGACAGATACAAACATCAACTTCAGGATGGAGACTTTCTTTCTTAGTCCTTAGACATAGAGGTGTGTGGTATGCTGTGATTTTTTACTGATAGACACAACCTATCCCTTTGGTGGCTTGCAAATGAATCTTGCTTTGGAACCCTGTAGTAACTTCCAGGAATTCTGTTATTGCCACATATATAACTGATTTTCATAAAAATGCAGATGTCCTGCTTCTCTTGGAAGCCCTGAGTCCTAGCATTACCAACGCCCATAGCTTGCCCTAGATGACCCCTCTGCATTTCTTCCTGATTCATCACCATCTTCTTTCATCTTGGTCTTAGAATGAGATCAAGAGGGGTGTAATGATGGTTGCTCAGGTTACTAGGACATTCCAGGACTTCCTGTGCATGGACATCAGCCTGCTGTTATTTTTAGGGAGCTATCACCACTGGAGAAGGCCTCCTTACAGAACCAGAAGCTAAGGGCC